TGAATCGCAAAATGGTGTGATCCCCCACACTCCAACTCACGATCCCATCAACATTAGGGTAAATCTTGATATGTGAAGAGTTGCAAATGAATTTATGATGGCTTACCGAGTTAGTCTAGTTTGGTTGTGTCCCAGATCAGCATAAAACAAAAAATTGGAGAATTTTGGATGAAGGGAATTGAAAGAAACATTTGACTATAGCATTTATTTTATGTGTGGGCTAAATTTGAATAGAAAAATATATTAAAGAATCAAGTCAGAAGAGGCAAAAGTGTATTAATGATTTTATTTTTCTACATTGAAACTGGCATTTTTAAAACATGATTTGTAATTGAATTAGTGAAAAATAACAAAGATATGGTTCAGGCTTTAATATTCACTAGTAATCGAATTACTGATGATTAAATATATGTTTTTAATTATGAGTTAAAGGGACATGCACAGATAGTGTAAATTTGTTTTACAGACAACCAATAGGAACTCATCATTTTGTCACTTCATATCAACAATTTCAGTATAAACTGTCTAGGAGTGAGATGACTTGGCAAAATAGTGGACTCTCATTGGATGTTTGTGTAAAACAAATTTACATTGATAGTACATTTTCTTTGAGCTCATTATTTATGTTAAGCAGTTAACCAGCCGAAAATGTAAAATATTGCCAAGTGAAAAAACTTAAGCAGCATAAATAGACAGTATCATATGCCCTTTTCATCACTTATTCAAACTTCTGTTCTTCCACTTCCAACTCCTTATCTCCATTAGGCACAGCTGTAGTGAGCCAGTGGATGGCAGGACGGCCACAATTCGTGGCTGCGAAAACTGCCACTTTTGAAGGTGGCTCACAGAGAGATGGCATCACACCCAAGCCCTACCACTCACACTTTTACATTATGGGGCGCTATTGATAACGTTCTTTACAAATTGGTTATGTAAGGTTGGGTTAAGGTCCGATCCAAATTTTAAGAAAGATACATGAAATTCATAACTTAATATACATGTATTTAATATAAACGATTTGACTTTCTGGCTGACTCGACACACAATACTTTCTTCTCCTAGGCGAGTGCTCACTTTGGAAGAGGGAAACCAATTTACTCACTTGCCAAAGTCAAGTTTAGATGCTATCTTAAATAAAATTTAAAGTAGGAGCACCGTACTGAACTTAAGGGTATGAAATGCGAGCATTTGAAAATCCATGATCAACAAATGATTACAAAGAATTAATATGCAAGAGGATTTGATCCTATGTGCTATCTTCATCCTCCGCTTCCCACTGTCACACTACTGTTTCAATTCCATGTGATGTGATGTTGTGAATCCAATGTGAATTCGGTCAATTATCTTTTTTGTATATGGAATTTTGGGGCGTCCTGCATACAACATCATGCACCAAGTCTTTTTTAGAGGAAAGGGATTTGGTGTCTGATTGTGACTAAATTCTTTTAGACTGACAATTTTCTATTGTTTGCACTTCTATGGTTTTTCCTTGTACTTGCATAGTAGATTCAACACAAAAGTCCCATCATCAGATGCTTGTTTGTGCCCCACTCTGAGTGTGTAGAGTTTCATCTTGTAAGTTGCGAGTGACTTGGCTATTCTTAATATTTAATGCTATATATTTAGATCAACCATCTTTCTTTCAAGTAATTGAATTAAGATCGCATGGTGTTTTTAACACTTTCCTTTAACTCATGCAATGGACTAGAATTATACTTCTAAGGAAATGTAGTGATAAGAAACATTTTGTTGCCAGTTTGTCATGTTTGGGCTAATCTAATCCATAAATAGTATCCACGTACATAATAGTGCGACATCATTTTAGAATATAATATTAATAATCATTTTGGTCTTTGATGGATAAGAGATTAGTCAAATATAGAGAAATCTTCAATATTTTTTTGAAAGAATGATTTTGAATAGTGATAAATAAATGTTTATCATTAACATATTTTTAATTTTCGGAATATTATAATATATATATTAAAGTTCAACAATTTATCTAAACTTTCCAAAACTCTTTAAATCTCTTCTCTAATACAATTTTTTAGTTCTCCCAAACTAGGATAATTTTGTATTATGTATAAAATTAAATCCCTCAAAATCCTCCCCACTTAGATCTCTCCATTCTTTTCACCCAATCCTTCTTTTTTTCAAAGCTCTCTCCTCCCTTCTCCTCACAACTTCCAAATAAAACCAAAGGGTATGTTTGGGAGTTAAATTTTGGAGGGTAGATTTTAGGAACGCAGTGTCTATATTTTATATTGGGAAAACTCTGGTATCCAAGTCCCACATTGGTTAAATATAGATCCTAATAAGAGTTTATATAAAGTGACATCCCTCATCTTACAAGTCGGTTTTGTTGGATGATTTAGGCCAAATTTTAAATCTTACATGATATTAAGAGCCTATCGATTCGGGTCACCCACCATTTATATATGCGAGCCAAATCCAATAGTGTTGGGCATAAGGAATAGTGCCGGGCATAAAGGGGTGTATTGGAAAAACCAAATCCCTCACAATTAGGACCACCCACCATTTATGCACCAAGCTCAATAATGTTGGCATGAAGGGGTGTATTGAGAAAAACAAGTACTTAAATCTCATATTGGTTAAAGATAGAATTTAATAAGGGTTTATATAGAGTGACACCCCTCACTTTACATGTTATGAGATAGGCCAAACTCTAATTCTAACGTTTTAATATATATTTGATATTTTAACTTTCTTTTGAAAGAACAGTGTAAAACACACCCTAAATGGTGACTGCATCTGTAAATTTGGTTTTAAATTAAAAGCCTTGAGTTAATGTTAGAAGAGATGCACATGTGGGGCTTTAAGAGTTAATTGGAATTCACATATGGCAAGATTTTACGCATCTTCGTCAAAAATTTTCATAATTTCTCCTTCCCCCATTTTATTAAGACATGAAACTCTAACTTAATCTCAAAACTTCAATCATAGAGTGATACTCTCTGACTACTAAAAGTTGAATTTGGCATGAGCAAAGATTGATAGATGATATACATCATGGAGGCAAAAGTTCATTTTTGTCATCGTCAATTGGATTCCTGCATCTTGGTCCTAGAGGACCTTTTGTATTCTATTTATATTTTCCAGCAACACAAGGGCAGGGAGTGTAGTAAAAAGGATTAGTATACATGGTATAGTATCAGTTAACCTATAGTAATTACTAATTAGAGCAACTATAATTTATCCTTAAGCACTAGTGGACGGTGCTATTAGTCGGTCGTTAGATCAATCGAATACCGGGTTTTCAAAAAAATAAGAAGTAGATAATGTACCTTAGGTAGTATTTGCTAAATAATTTGGAACAGAACAGACTCAATTAAAAAAAGTAAAACAAGTACTGCATTTTGATTTCACTGAAAAAACAGTTATCAAATATCTGCAATTGCGGCGCTATGGCAGATATACATGGTGGTTTTTCCGCCATATTCCGCTATAACAGCGATGCAAAGTCTCTGGTATGGCGGGATTTTGGCTCTCCGCCATGGACCACCATCCGAATAGACAACACTGCTGAAAAAAGGGAGAAGAGAGCAAAATATGCAGTTCCATTCTGTTCTGTTTGTATGCCATGTGTGTGTGTGTGTGTGTGTGTGTGTGTGTGTGTGTGTGTGTGTGTGTGTATATATTTGCGGTTGCTATGTGACCTCATTCATCCTTCTCAACTGCTTGAGTTTTGCTTTCTTTTCATGTTGAATTATTTGAACTAGTTGCTGTCTGTGCAGTTTTGTCCGCTTTTTTCAGTCACCTGGCCCCATTAGAAGGGTGCCACACTTTTGCACAATGCCAAACCCCTGTTTTGTTATTTTTGGAATCATAGCGGCATATCTTAACTTTTTACGATAGATCTGATACCTCTTTTGTCAGATCATGATATTTAAGTATTTCTCTTACATCTAGCCTTTTTGCCAGCAATGGCTTGAAACAAACTATCAAATTTTGAAAACGGGATAGTTCATCAAGGCTTAATTTCTCTTGTAGAAAGCCATACCAGAGCACCTGCATAGCAGCTTGGCACTAAACATGTGTTTTAACCCAAAGTTTAAACAAAAGTTTTCTTCCTAGATAAGGACACAGACAACACTTCTACTTATGTCGAAGCTTCTACGAGTATATAATAACAACGAAACTTTACTCATTAGTCTATAAAGTGTTGTCGATGGCGGAAGGCCAAAATTCTGCCACATAAACACCATTGCAGCCAAGCCCATCACCAAACTGTATGGCGGCTGTTAGAAAATTCCGCCATGCCATTTGCAATGGCGGTGCCATGGCTTTTGTAGCACTGTTCATAAGTACAAACCTTGTGAAAATAGAGGTCTAATGTCCTATTAGAGAAGCAAGTCATCCTAGGCTTTATACATTTTTACCAACATTCAAAAACAGAGTAGGAGCCAATCAAGTTTGATCTAAAACCATACTCGTGCAAACAAAAGAAAATATGATTAATTTGGTCTTTATGGAGATATGGAGATTTATAATGTCCGATGTTAAATAGTGGCTATAGTTGCGTTGTAACGCAGCAGAATTCGAACAAATCGCTATTTAGTACGAAATGTCATAAAATAGTGATTATATCGGTACTGTAACACTCTTGCGTAACGAACTTTGAACAAATTGTTATTTTCTGCGATCTGCAGTTGATAACACTGAACATGAATTAACAGACAAAGAAGATACACTACTAACAAGAACACTTAAACAATAATCAAAAGCAAAGATCCCTCTTTTACATAAAAACCCACAATTCTAAATTATTAAAACTTAAAATGATTGAAAGCAAATATTGTTCTTAACACTCAGAACTAAACACAGTTAAAATTGTGTACAGAATCACAAATTAAACCTGTAAATTCTGATCTCCACAATTGCTTTGTGAAACTTAAAATATCATGAGACTTGAAAATTCAAAACAGGTGTGGTTATCCTCTTCATATTGTAGCTGGTAAATTGAGATCCACTGACACGCGTCAAAACTCATTAGCAACGGAAAAGTGTACCCTCCTGTGTCCCCCAAGTGCTTGAGCATTCTTGAACATTCTGTTGCAGTATGGGCATTGAAAAGGTTTCTGATCAATAAAGTCACCATCTTTCTCAATTCTGCAGTGTGCTTTGTGCCCACCAAGTGCTTGAAAAGATCTGAGCACTTTTCCACACCTCTCACACTTGAACCTGGTTTGGGAGTCAGCTTGAGCAAGCAAGTCATGTCTCCCGCTTCCACTGTCTTTTGCCTTCATTTCGTTGATTTCCTTTATTTTTTGTGCCTTTGCCTCTTCCTCTTGCTGTGCTAATTTGTAAAAATCCCACACTATCCAAGCACCCCGAGGAATTTTAGTTTCACTTATTGGACTTGTTTGTTCTGACTGGGATTTTGTATCGGCCGCTGCATTTTTTTCGCGGAGGCATTTAGATCTTTTGGGGGTTGGGTTTTGTGGGTAGGACTTAGATTTGTTTTCTCTGTTTGAGCTTGCAGAGATGTCAGACGAGTTGCGTTTCATAGATCCGAAATTCAGTGAGGAAGCAGATTGAATGGGATGCTGAGTTGAATTGGCTGAATCATCTTGTACTTGATTGTTAGTTTCAAGCTTTGGAGGAATCGGCAATTTGACGTAGTGAGATCTCATGTGGCCTCCAAAGGCTTTCCCACTGGAGAACCACTTATCACAAATCCAGCAGACTTTGCTGTTGTTCTTCTCCATAGCTGCAAAAAAACAGTAAAATCCAAACACTTCCTCACGCCTTTCTTGTGGATAAGTGTTTGTTGAATTCAGAATTTTATAGAGGGGTAGGTTACAAGCCTTCCTTTTAGGAAAAGGTGAATTCACTTTTGAGTGTGCAACCGGTTCCTTAACGAAGATTAATCACTATTAATCTGCGGTTGAGACATTGTACATATAACATGGTTTAAAAAAAGACTTCCTTATACAAAAGGAACAAAATAAGAAAAGGCCGTAATAAATGTAGGAAACGATCGCGTGCAATCAACTTATTCTGCATTTGAGTTTTTTTTTGCTTTACTCTGAACTTTTAATTTAATGCGGTAATACAAGAAAGATATAATTAAATTATTTAAGATTCTGATTTTGCATTTAATTTTTTTTTCCCGAAAGTATAAAATAAATAGTTCATTTTATTTTATTTTATGTTAGGTAGCGATATTGTAATCTTTTTTATCGACAATTGGCATTTCGTAGGTTACTAAAAAAGCAACAAATTGAGGACAATGTTTACCATTTCATTTCAATATATTTGATCTACTACTTTTTCTCTATTTTAATCATGATTGATACTACAAATATCCATTATTTTACTTGATAAGAGTTTCTGTTTGTTAAGTTGCAGACACATGCACTAAACATTAAGTTTAGTGATAAGGAGCTTTATATTTCATTGACAATATACATATAATACTGAAATTTTCTGTATTTAACTCAAATTATGCATGTTTATACTTCACCATTGATTCCATGATGAGTATTTCTTAAAAAGGGAAAGTTTTGGCAAACTTATTTTGAAGAAAATATCTTTGATTGCATGGCCTCTCCATTTTTGTGCATATAGAATTATATATAATTTTTAGCATGCATTCTGTATAGTATGCATTTTGTCTTTGATTCATGTTTTAATAAGAGCTGAGACTTGGGAGCACATTCATTGCAGTATCCCCAAATCCATTCTTTGTATCAATACTACCAATAAATAAAACCATGATTGGTTATCATAATTTTTCTGATTATTTAACAATTTATTCATATAAGAGAGTTTGGAGGTTAAATTTTTCATAGTTTTTCTGATTATTTAACAATGATTGGTCACAAGACGTAAGAGTCGACACAATAGTTGGAACCACACGATCTGTGAAAATTAAAGTTTAGTGCGATTGTAAATGATTTACTTTCATTTGTTTGAAAATTTGATGTTTTAGATTATTTAACAATGATTGGTCACAAGACGTAAGAGTCGACACAATAGTTGGAACCACACGATCTGTGAAAATTAAAGTTTAGTGCGATTGTAAATGATTTACTTTCATTTGTTTGAAAATTTGATGTTTTAGAGAAATAGAATTCATAGGCTTATTTGGATTTTAACCTTATTTGTGAGAATTTTGGAAACCTTTAAGTTTTAGTATATACTTCTAAAAAAACTAGCAAGTGCATTATTTTGGTTTGAACTATTGATGTTCAAACTTGCAGGATTCACTAGCAAAATACATGTGCATTTGTTGTATAAGTTGAATGTTGTTGATTCCTATATGTAATAGTGTAAGTTGTCCAAAATAAGCATTGTGCACTACACTCGATGAAGTACTTTCAAACGCCATAAAAATAAAAAAATTGTTGTTTGTCACCGTTTGGTGGTTGAAATCCGGATGCGTTGCTACACAACAAATCAACAAATTTCTTCATCAGAGATGCATTTTCATCCAAGTTAAAAAATAGTCTGAATTTTAGAATTTTTGGATTTTGAATTTCATAAACATCAGGTAGAAAAACGAATGTTGGATTACTTTGCATGGGTAGTACTCAACATGATCATAACATAATATCTTAAATCCTTTCAAAATTTCTTTACATTCTTAATTAAGATTTTCACTTGTAAACCACATTCAACTGTATTTTGACATCAAAATGTGCAAACTCATGAAAGTAAAGGTATCGTGCATTTATATTGTTGATCATCATATAGATAATTTGATTTTTCTTTCTATATTATGAACACATAATTCGAAGATTGAAATTTGGATTCTTGTACGATTGGTTCGGAAATTGAGATTCAGATTTGTTCAATGTTGGTTGACACTGTCTTATTTTTTTTAATTGTAGTTATGGTGTGCCATTATTTTGTGATCAAATACTCTGATATTGTGATGAAACACTTTGATGTTGAGATTAAATCTGATACATCTAAGGATGGTGATATGGAATTAACCCTCAATAATTTGTTGTTCACGTTGATGTTCGAAGAGAATTTACTCATAAACATGAGTTTACTTTGCGTGAACATATGCTTGGATGTGTCCACACGTAGGCTATCAAAGTATAGTTTGACATTTTATCGGGAGGTCGGATTCTGTTTTTGATAGAAGACAACCATTTGTTACAATTGAAGGTGAGAAAAATACAAGAAAGGAGAGTTGAATTGTGTTAACTTTCTCTTTTATGAAAATATCTTATCAGATTTTGAACACAAGGTCGAGAATATTAATCAGAGTTAACTGTTTAGATGCAGATTAAAATAGTTCAGAGATAAAAAGGAAAAAAAGAGAGAGACACAAACAATTATCCCAATTTCTCCCACAAGTTGAGACTTATCCAGTCTTCTTGCACACTTAAGAGATTTTCATTATAATCACAACTGATTACAACCTGCTCAAACACACATGTAAGATACTTTTAATGCTTAAGCACACAAGTAAGAGACTTCAAATGTTCAAGCAAACAAGAGACTTTAGATGCTCAAGCACTTAGCAATAGACTTCTTAAACTCTAATTTACAGAAGAGATTGTGAAAAACTGCCCTTGATATGCAATCATAGGTGTAGAAAAAATAATACACAAAAAGACTCTTAAGAGATTTTCTAAGATGTGCAAGTGTTAAGAAATTCTAAATTAAACTTGTGATTTTTGTTTGATAGAGTAACAACTCTTTTATCGTCAGAAAAATTCATTATTTTTTTTTAGAATCATTGAAGAGTTTGCACAAGAGAGTTGTCATACCTCAAATTTTATCTTTTGATTCGTGATCATTTTTGCATTTCATTTTCCTATCATCTCTGTTTTAGTTAACCATTAACTAGTTTGCTTATTTTGTTTCGTGAAGGTAGGTTGTTATGGAAGATTCTGAGGTCATGAAAACTATGTGCTTACTATTACCGGAATCTCAATCCTCTGAAAATTATGTTGAATACTAGTTAAGACAAAAAAAAGGATTAATTCAAAGTGCATAGACTTCATATTGTGCTACTGCATATGGCTTTCATCTTCCAGTTACTAAGCCTAATATCGTCATTGACACTTTTGGTCATAAGAGAGGGATTTATTGTGGAAAATGATATATTTTGAAAGTGTGAAACAACATGTACATCTTGAAACAAATTTTATCAGGAAGTTCTCATTAAGTCTTTAATTTGCTCTTCAGAGTAAAGATCACTTTTGTGCACCATGTTAAATTTGCAAAAATCCAACCAAGCTATGGAGGGGGGATTCCCAAGCATGTTGCGCTGTGTGGGCCAGAGTTTGTTGTTTTTATGGATATTACGAAACTAATATGCCATGTTGGGAAGACATTGTATTAAAGTTTGAGTCAATATGAAAATTCTTATATTATTTAAATTCAAAGCAACCTGTACAAAGTGAGTCCAAGGCTCAAGTCTTCCTTTGCTAAAACTCAACATTCCAGTACCTACAAGAGTTGGTAATCTTGTTTCAATACAACTTTAGCCGTAAAAGAGCATTACATATAATGTTTTTTGACGAATACGTAATTCCACAGAAGGAATTTATAACCGCTGATGTTTGAGCTTGGAAAAGCTCGCGAAACCGAGTCATTTATATCAGATGGAGAGCGTGATGAAGGGCGCTAGGCATAGTTGCTCCGAAAGATACAAACATCGGAGTCCTTCCAAAATGAATAACAGCTTGACACAGAGCCATTCGAACCTCTAAATACCCAGCCCTTCTAGCAACCCAATAATTCTATTGCTTTATCTAGTCAAGCTAGCAGTATAAATCCTCAGCATCAACCTGTCATGCAATATACAGCAGACCAAATGAACTCTAACCCTCCCATTCAACAACATCCTGCCTTTGGAGTTAGTCAAGGCACCCCAGATTTAGAGGTTGATAAGAACCAGAGATACCAGTCAACATTACAGTTTGCTGCCAATCTTCTATTCCAAATACAGCAGCAACAACAAACACAAGGAGAACATGGCCAGGGCATTTCAACAGGACCTTTACCAAATGACATTGTACTCCATCGCCCATCAGCAGCATCCCGTCTGCCTCCCAGAACTGTCAAACCTGCAAATCCAAGAGGAAGAAGCATCGAGACACTAACGACATTAGTACCGGCAGTGTACAGGCGAAGCCCTGACAGTATTAACTTTAAAAAAAATAATAGAACAGGTTTCTCCAAGACAGCATCGTGCCGCATATGAAGAAGAAAGCCAAGCACAATCCAATTAACCCCTTTCTGACTACGGTTTATCGCCAAGTTTCAATCTTCGGTTTTTTTTGGAAACCAGCTTTGTTGATACCTTTCGTCCTGCATAAAATTCAAGCCACCGTGAGATTCATCAAACTTGGTCAGCAACTTAAGACGTAACGAGAATAAGGATATCATGGATAATTACCAGTTTTCTTTTCTTAATGGCAGTCCTTTTTTTATTACAGCAGCATTTACAAACGCTTTAACAAGGAATCCATCTCTAAGTTTGTTCCATTGTTGCAGCGGCAATATGATGGTAACTGGACTTGCCAAAGCATACACATGCCTTGAACAAACCTGCGAACCTGAAAACCAGAGAAGGAAGAGAGTTATTCTTTAGATTGAAAGAAATCATATTGTGGAAAGAAATCAAGAGTAGTTAATACAGCCGACAAATTTCCAACATGTTTAGACATGACAAAACCAAAATGGAAACAATTAGTGCAAAATCATAATTCAGGGATTATGAGGTTTCAATAAGTTGTCC